ATGTTGAAGTTGATGATTTGGAAGATTTTATTCAAACTAAAACATGTACTTCTATACAAGAACAAAATGAAAGTGTTGAAGAAATACCAATTCGTTTGTTATTACAAAGCTATGATAATGTTCAACGTTTACATCATTCCACGAGTATTAGACAGTATTGGCAGGATTTGAGATTGATTAAACCAGAGCTATTTAGATTAGCACAAGTAATCCTAAGTGTTCCTGTCACTCAAGTAAGTACTGAACAATTTTAGATTATTAATAATTTTAGTCTTAACTTCTATTATTAATGTTATTCAATTTTAATTTATTTATATTAAATATTAATTATAATTTATAATTTAGAACAATAATATAAGTTATAAATTATAATTGTATCTACACATTAAATTACTATCGAGTTATATTATACATAGGTGTGTTACCCTGGCACCCCAAGTTCAAAATTCCGACTTGAAAACTGTGTGGTATTATGTTATTTATTATGTAACATTTTGTAAACGCAAAAAAAAATTTTGTAACTACATCGGTGCCCCGGAAAACGGCGATACAAGTTCCGGGTGCCAGGGTAACGTTATTTAATTAAATGTACAAGATAACAGCTCAAAATTTTGGCATGTTAAAAAGCTTGACAATTTTATACAAGGTCCTCTACTTTAAGTTGTTATTGTTAATTTAAAAATATGAAAATACATATACTGCATAGATACAATTTTTTTCACAATAATATTTGTGTGGTGATACTTGAAACATTTTATGTACCTACATCTATTATTTTATTTTATAATTTTATTATATTTTGCATTTTAACATCCAAGTTTTTCGGGAAAATGATTGCATCCTACCTATAAATTATAATAAATTACTTTATTTACAATATTATCATAAAATAATTAGTTATAATATTATATATGCGTACAGACCGGGTGTTGACCAGTTACCCTCAACCAAAGGTACAATTTGCTCTCAATATAATATACCGGTGGCGGATACACTTACATATTTTATATTCAGGTTTATAATACCAACCCGTAAAATGGAGGAGGTAAATAGGTAAGTAATAATCATAGCATAAAAAATAATAAAAATTGTATTAAAAATAATGGTTCACCTGGTACAAAGAGAGTATTTGATCAAAGTGAGGTGCATTTCCCTGGCACCCCCACTTCCAAATTTTGGATTCAAACCAAGGGCTTTCGTTTGTGCTACGTTTGTGCTGGATTGTGCTCGAATTTCATCGTTTGTGCTGCAACCCTTAAGGAGTTATAAGCGATAACGATTGGGGGTGCCAGCGAAACGACTGCACCCCCACCTCAGAATTTCGGATTCAAACCAAGGGCTATTGTTTGTGCTACGTTTGTGCTGGATTGTGCTCGAATTTCATCGTTTGTGCTGCAACCCTTAAAGAGTTATAAGGGATAATGATTGGGGGTGCCAGCGAAACGACTGCACCCCCACCTCACAATTTTAAAATTTAAATTACACCATTCGTTTGTGCTACGTTTGTGCTGGTTTGTGCTCGAGTTTCATCGTTTGTGCTGCAAACACTAATGAGCTAGAACGGATCTTTAGTGGGGGTGCCAGCGAAATGGCTGCACCCCCACCTCCAAATTTTCAAATTTAAATTATGCCATTCGTTTGTGCTACGTTTGTGCTGGATTGTGCTCGAGTTTCATCGTTTGTGCTGCAACCCCTAATTAACTACAGGGGATCATTAGTGGGAGGGGGTGGTATGGAGCCATAATAATGCAGCCGCGATTCAAAATATTGGATCTCCAAATGAGCCAATCTTTAGTAGTTTGCTACTGATATCCTGTACCACTTTTTCGACGTCAGTACTCTACTACTTCCGAAGTTATCCTTATAAATTTAATTAGGGGGTTGTAAAGACGTGCCGGCACCCCCCATATTGAATTGTTTGGTCCAAATCAGTCCCATTGGTTTTGACTAAGTAAGTGCTTATTTGTACTCTTTGTCCCATCGTTATTATTATTTACTAGTAAAAAAAGTTAGGTATAAGCCTTTCTTACAAGGGGATGATCTGGAATCCTAAAACGAGGACAGGTGGACTACAGCCCACAGAGTTTTATCGGAAATTGCTTGAGGTTGGTTGGTAAAAGTAATCAAAAGGTGTCCATAGGTGTCTCGTAGTTTTTAGGTTCAAATAATTTACTTGCATGAGTTTGATTATAAAATTTACGTGATCGTAATTATTGTGAAAATCAAAATTCTCAAATATACGTTTTTATCTTGCAAAACTATTAGAAATAACTAAATGGCGTATATGGATCATTTTCACTTTTACTGAAAAAATTCGTATCCCTAACTGTTAAATCAAAAACCAAAACGAAAACATTTTTAAAAAAGTTAACCAAGGAAATACGTAATACGCTTGATTAAACAACTCAAAAATCAAAATAGACCTTAAAATGTAGTAAAACACTTGATTAAAGATTGGTTTAGACTAAGTTAGTGCTTATTTGTACTCTTTGTCCCATCGTTATTATTTCTTTGCTCATAAAAAAATAAGTTCTAAATTGCCGATTTTTCAATGTCCCTGACCGCTTAACTTTATATAGGCTGTAAGCCTTATATTGTGTATTTTTTAATGAATGTAAAATCTTATAATAAATATTTTTAAAAGTATTTTGGATAATAATACTTAAAATCAAAATAGTTATTAATTTTTGCTGCTATAAGGTGTTTTTAATTTACTTACATAATCATGGCAATATTGTAAAACCCAAAGTTTCCAGACTATTTATTCGAGACTAAAAAATAAGAGGTTTCGCTAAAAAGTAAAAACATTAATAAATCATATTTACCTATATAAAAATGAATCCAATTAGAAACCGTTGAAAAATATAAACAAGCAAATTAATAAAAACTCAAAAAAATATGAAACAAATAGATACTGTTTTTGAATTCAGTCGTCTATGGTTAAGTATTATATTGAGTAAAAATCTCATAAATTTACATATGGGTTTTAGGAAAATGAGGCACCTACTACCTACCTAAATTATTATGTTTTATGTAGATTTTTTAACTTATTAGGCCAGATTGGACGAATAGGAAATAAGTTAGTGTGGATATGGTTAATGAAGTAAAATCGTATGAGAATTGATAGCCAGTAAGTACCAATATTGTATAGTGTCTACAACTGTCTACATAATGATATATATAGGTACCTTATAGTCACCCATGTAAACTTTTTGTGAATAACATAGGCAGCCTTATTATGTATACGTACAATGATTATTTTTTTATAATTTTTATCGCCAGAAACTGTATCAAAAAAAATAAAAAAATAAAAAAATAATATTTATTGTACTATTAAGTAGGTAATCCAGCCAATGGTTATAAATAAAAAAGTTAACCAAGGAAATACGTAATACGCTTGATTAAACAACTCAAAAATCAAAATAGACCTTAAAATGTAGTAAAACTATCCATATACGCCATTTAGTTATTTCTAATAGTTTTGCAAGATAAAAACGTATATTTGAGAATTTTGATTTTCACAATAATTACGATCACGTAAATTTTATAATCAAACTCATGCAAGTAAATTATTTGAACCTAAAAACTACGAGACACCTATGGACACCTTTTGATTACTTTTACCAACCAACCTCAAGCAATTTCCGATAAAACTCTGTGGGCTGTAGTCCACCTGTCCTCGTTTTAGGATTCCAGATCATCCCCTTGTAAGAAAGGCTTATACCTAACTTTTTTTACTAGTAAATAATAATAACGATGGGACAAAGAGTACAAATAAGCACTTACTTAGTCAAAACCAATGGGACTGATTTGGACCAAACAATTCAATATGGGGGGTGCCGGCACGTCTTTACAACCCCCTAATTAAATTTATAAGGATAACTTCGGAAGTAGTAGAGTACTGACGTCGAAAAAGTGGTACAGGATATCAGTAGCAAACTACTAAAGATTGGCTCATTTGGAGATCCAATATTTTGAATCGCGGCTGCATTATGGCTCCATACCACCCCCTCCCACTAATGATCCCCTGTAGTTAATTAGGGGTTGCAGCACAAACGATGAAACTCGAGCACAATCCAGCACAAACGTAGCACAAACGAATGGCATAATTTAAATTTGAAAATTTGGAGGTGGGGGTGCAGCCATTTCGCTGGCACCCCCACTAAAGATCCGTTCTAGCTCATTAGTGTTTGCAGCACAAACGATGAAACTCGAGCACAAACCAGCACAAACGTAGCACAAACAATAGCCCTTGGTTTGAATCCGAAATTCTGAGGTGGGGGTGCAGTCGTTTCGCTGGCACCCCCAATCGTTATCGCTTATAACTCCTTAAGGGTTGCAGCACAAACGATGAAATTCGAGCACAATCCAGCACAAACGTAGCACAAACGAAAGCCCTTGGTTTGAATCCAAAATTCGGAAGTGGGGGTGCCAGGGAAATGTACCTATCAAAGTGCTTAATTTTAGATTTGTGTAAGTGTAATTATAATTATTGTTTTTATTATTTTTATAAATTTTACCTATCATTTTATACAATTTTTTTATTATTTGCATTTTTTATGTTACAAATTACAATACCTAATATCTTTATAATTTATATTATATATATAATAGCAAATATAATTGTATACTATATTACCTTTTTTAACAACTTACATTTTATGCCACTTATAATTATTGTATTAATTATACTTTTATTATAAATATTATTATCATTTACATATTTACGATATTTATTTCTGCTATTTTGATGTATTATAATCATGTAAATCACACCTACTGTATAGCAGAGCGTTACTCACCTTTTTTCATTTTTTTTTTTACTTCAATGTCACTTGCTTTTTAAACTGTTAAAGTACATGTAGGTATTATTTGGAATCGGATAAATAAAATATAAGTATTATTAAATTATTAACTTTATATATTTTATACAATTTATTTTGTATACAATAACATATCAATGTTCACTTTATTTTTTGTTGCTAACGATACTCCATCTTTTAGGTCATCATAAACTTCCCATAAGATCTATAAGCAAACGCCTTATAGTGGCCTGCAGTCACTCTTAAGCCCCACCGGTCTTGACCACTAAATCCTACAGCCCCTCTTAAATAATAAACTTCCTTGTAAATTTGTATTGTCTTTGCAATACTGTCTAAATGCAATTGAACTTTTCCTGCATAATTTTTTTGGATTGCTCCAATATCGCTTGTGTTAAAGCTCGTTGATGCTTCTAGATCTGAGGACATTAAACAGTATAAAAATTACAGTTGTTTTACAATATAAAATAATTGTTTCTTTTTATCATTATTTAAAATATATAAAATACCTTTAGGTAATGATAGTAGTTCTATCAACAAATGGCTTTTCATGCTGATAGATATAATTCTATTACTTTTGCAGCTTTGACACTCAGGCGCGTAGCCAGGGGGGTGTTACAGGTGTAATAACACCCCCCCCTCAACCGTGGTGTACTATGTTTTATAATTTAAACCGGGACACTGGCACACGGAATTAGATAATTATTATTTTAGACCATTCTGTGTCAGTTTATCGTTGACTCATTTCATGTACGATACAAGATATCTTTTAATGCAGAGTATTTACAACTTGTTTACAACTTCATCATTAGAGTGTTACTCTATGGTATCAACTATCATTGGGGATTACAATTTCAATACCTCGACTAGCTATAAACCGAACAAATCGTTTTAGCATTTCAGCAGAATCACCGGAAGTCTATTTTAGGATTTTGATTTTTGTACCTTTTTTGGATCATTTCTGTGAGCAACTAAATGACAGATTTTTGAACCATAAATCACTATTAAAACAACTTACTTGTTTAATAAATGCAAATGAAAAAAATGAGACCGAATTTAAAGAACTTCTTAAGACATATTCTTCAGATATTGAAGCTGATGAAATATCTGCAATTGGTGAGTTTGCAATATTGACGCGGACTTCTGTTGAGCCGCGTGGTGTGGTGAGGTGATGGTGGTGAGTGGTGACCGACGGAGACAGTCGGGTCGAAACAACAAACGGGATAATAAAAAAAGGATTATTAAAACACAACGAACAAACGAACGACGCAATGAGGTGTCACTTAAGTATTTATTGTTACAAAACACAAAAGATTATTCAGTACATATGTTGGGAACCGGTAGCGAAATACGCGGAACGTGGGTGTGGATTCGGGTGTGTACCGGACGGTGTCGGGAAGACGAGCGAGCGCGCCTTGACAATCCGGTTCGCTGGACGGCCGGCCGACGGTTCCAGGCGCGCGTGTCGCGCGCCGGCGTCGTCCGTCGTCGATTGGCGGTTTGATTGAGAAGCCGCGGCGCGGCTTCCACGCCAAGGCTGTTTGAATTCAAACAGATTTTGCGCGGGACCGCGTCATACTCCCCCCCCAAACCGCCAACGGCGTTGGTGTTCCGGCCGTTACCGGTGTTGTGGTTTGTTCAGGGTGTGGAGGTGGTTGTGGAGGTTCATGAGTGGAGGGTGGTGGGAGTAGACACTTGTCCGCGGGCACGTTTTCCGGCTGTGTTCAGCGGACGTGGCCCTGGCGGTGTCTAGTCGTGGTTGGGTGATGTTGGGGGGCTAAAGAATAGTTGACTGACGTCCATGTCCTCGTGGTCAGCCAGGTGTGTGCCCGCACCTTCTAACAGCTGTGCCTCCTCCTCCGGGGATATTTCCATATCCTCGGGTTGAGGGGTGGTAGCCGCCAGTCGCTCCGTGGTTCCGGTCGCTCCGGAAGTGGGTGTCACTTCCGGTACCGTGACCTTGGTTATGTGCGGGGACGCAGGCCCTGGCTGTGACAGGACCGTCTCTGGGCCTGGGGTTACGGGTAGTACCGGTGTTTCCAGGCGGTGCTGCTGGGATGCCTGTTGTCGTTTTGTTATGAAGTCCCGCTTCCGCTGCTGGTTCCGGCGTTGGCGGGCGTTCAGTGTGGCTGTAGGTGGTGTTGGTGCGGTGGCACTTGGTGGTGGCGGTGGCGGCGGGTTGAAGGTGGTTGTTGGAGGTGGCCTGGTCGCCGTCCTTGGCGGTGGTACCGGCCTCTCCATCAGCGGTCGTGGGTGGGACGGTGGTCGGGTCACCCGTCTGGGGCTGCGGGACCTATTGTGCCGCACTGTGGTTGTGGGTTCGCCGCTCGTTGCCCTAACGAATACGGCCGTGCGGTCCTCCCATCCGCGCGAGTAGGCGGCCCACAGTACCGGGTCTCGCTGCAATTGTGCCGTGGTCATCCGTCGGACCCTGGCCGCCGTGGTGACGGTGGTGCCCTCCTCGAGGGTGACCGCCCTCAGCAGCTGCTGACTTCGTTCGAGCAGCTCTGCCGCTTGTTGGAGCGTGGATGTTGATGAGGTGCGTTGCTGCTCCATCTCGCGGTGTATTGCTGTGCCGACTGAAATTTAGTTCACAAAAAAAAAATACTATTGTGGGCTTATGGTTTGGGGGGGGGGGGTATTCTGGTGGTCGCAGAGCCGTCTGCGCGCGTGTTTAGTGGTTTGGTACACGCGCATATGGGACACGACTTGACGTACAGTCGGATGTCGTTTTTTTTTTCTTTTTCCTTCCAAAAAAAAAAAATAACGGTGTTTGACCGCCCTGTACGTTTCTTTCCAGCCCGGGTGGTTTGCGAGTACGTGATCGTGGTTAGTCCAGATCACGTTCTGGGTGTTGATTTTTGGGATGACTACGGGTGTGTGTTCGCCCAAACTTATCCGGAGAAGACCGTCGGTAAAAATGAATTGCTTGTTTTTCTTTTTCCGAGGTACCTCCGGTATTGCGCGCTGGGTCGTCCGTTGTCATGTTGTGCGTTATGTCTCGTGTGTTGGGGTCATTGGCCTGCCATGTCACGAGCATAGCGTGTGTGATTGTGGGGTGACTAGTGGTGTTAGCCGGGTTCGTCGTGGCGAACAGATTGTCGGCCGGTGAACTAGTAGTGGTGACGAGTGGTGAGGTGGGTACTCCTACTAGTCGTTCCTCGAGGTGTTCCTCGTCTACCGGGGGCCCGGTAGTCGGGTTGCGGGAGAGCATGTCCGGCGCTTCGTTCTGTACGCCGGGCACATGCGTGGTTTTGTAATCCAGGTTGGCCAGTTGTAGTGCCCACCTGGTTAATTTTGAGTTTGTGTTTTTGGCTCGGTGGAGCCATGTGAGTGCTGAGTATAGGTCAAACCGGCGTGCCTCCAGGTATGGTCTAAACTCATTGGTTGCCCAGATTATCGCGGGGCACTCGCGTTCTTCGTACCTTGTTTGTGTATCACTAAACTTTTTGCCTGCGTAGGCGATTATCCGCCTTTCGTCCGGGCTGTCACCCCGTTGGAAAAGGACGGCACCCGCTCCTATCTCGCTAGCATGGGTTATTGTTAGTTTGTCAACATCTAGTGCTGGGCTGGGGTTGGGTATCCGACCTTTCCAGCACGCTGTTGTTCTACTATTCGAACCTAAATGAATAGTGCTCGTTGTGTAGTCCCAGGTGACTTCGTTTTGCACGAGACAGTCGTGACCTAGGAGCATGTCGCAGTATAAATTGTCCAGACTGCTGCGTTGAAGGTTACCGTGAGGTCTCCGATTCTGGCTACGAATGTGGAGGTACCACTTGTCATGGTAGTGTGTCCATCCGCAATTCGTACCTGAGTGGGTTGTCCGTGGTGGGGTGTGCCAAAAAAAAAATTTTTTTGTGCTGTGTTCGGGCTTACATACGATTTTTGTGCTTGGGAGTCGAGTAGAGCTGTTACGGGGCCTGACCTAAATTCGAGTTCGACCGCGGGGGTCGGAATTTTGTCAGGGCATACTCGTTTAGCGTTATTCGACGTTGGTGGTGATGTATAGCTGGATAACTGGTTCTTAACCGCGATATCGGTGTTCTGGGGAGCGGTTTGCACCGCCATTACCAGAGCATCCGTTTCGGTTACCTCTGTGCTATGTGTGTGTACTGTATGTGTACCTGTTAATTTCGTAGTAGGGGTCGTTGATGCGGACCTTTGGGGTGCCGCGTGGTGTGGTGATGGTGACCTGCTACTTAACGAAATTGTTGATGTTTGGACGGGTGATATATGTGAGGACGCCGAGTTTATCGATGCGCGTTTGATGGTTATATCCCCGTCTGTAATGCCGAACGTTGTGTGTGGTGGCGTGGTTGTGTGTGTGTGTGTATGTGTGTGTGTGGTGGAGGCGGCGGCGTGGACAGGTGTCCGCCGACTCGTTTCCCGTTTCCCGAACGCGGTGTGTTCCCGGGGCAGTCACTGTTCCAGTGAAGACCTCCGCAGTATCTGCATGGGTTGGGCGGTTGCGGTTTGCCTGCCGTACCGTCCCGTGTTCGCGGTTGGTGTGTTGGGTGTGGTGGGCGGGTTTGGGAAAATTTTTTTTGCGCCGGTCTCGGCTGTGGTTGTGTCCGTTAAACCGCGCTGTCCGCATTCGTAGCGCAATTCCGCGGCGGTCAATTCATTAATATATTTCCTCGGCATGACTTCCGGTTGGTTTTCCGGTGTTAATGACGAGGAGATTTAAAATGTGGCTGTTGTCGTTGGAACGGGTATCGCGTTCCTTCGATCAGCTGTGTTGCCCGCTTATCGGTGTTTATTTGCGTACAGAATGTAGGTCAGTGGGTTGTTATTGTTATTGTTGCGCTTGCCGGGCGATCACAGTAACCGGTCTTCGCAGAGTGTTTTCGCGGATAAGCGTGTGTGCGTTATCCGGTGCACTACTGCGATTAGGGAAGGCGGCGGCTGTCGCTTTAAGCGGCGGCAGTCCGATTACGTGGTATTTTTGTCCCGGGTCATCGCGTGTTGACGTAGGCGAGTGGCGGTGCTGGGCGGTGGTGGTTAGACCCTCTCGCGCTCTTGCGTTCCTGCCTAATGCCTACCTACGTCGTGTGTGTTTGGAGCGTCGCGCGCGGTGCGGTCGGTGCGTCCGTAAAGTCGGGCGGCGCGGCCGGTCGTTACGTCCTTTATGGTTATGTAATATAAGGGGTACGACACTCTCACAATTCCTAATGCTATTTGAAAAAAGTGGGGACACGGCCTTGAACTTATGGGCACTACCATTTTGTTATTTATGAGAATCAGCTGACGGCTCATATCATATATTTCAATAATTGATAGTTGATACTTGATACCATTATGATAACACAGAAATGATAATAAATTATATTATAATTTATAATTTATGTCGAACGTGAAATTCGAAAAATTATAAGTTAATAGTTGTTGTTGGGTAGCCGTAAGCCATATAGGCATAGAACGGTTAAGTTATAACTTAAAGAATTAAAACGCAAACAAACAACAAACCGTTTATTGTAAAAAAAAATCGTTCATAACAACACTCCTAAACCACCAGGTAATCATTTACAACTTCAACACTAAACCACCAGAGATCGACCACCAAGCAGAGTGTCGCTTCTGTATTGTTCTGTGGTAATATATTACGTAACGCCGGTTTTTCCGTTAACGCCTGAAAACCACGTTTTTGTCGGATCGCGTCCAGGACTTTTTCCAATCGCGCAACGGGGGGTATATGTGGGTGGTAGTGAGTGGTAAGATAGTTTTCACTTACCGGTGATTCCTGTTCGGGGAGCCAGTTGACGCGGACTTCTGTTGAGCCGCGTGGTGTGGTGAGGTGATGGTGGTGAGTGGTGACCGACGGAGACAGTCGGGTCGAAACAACAAACGGGATTATAAAAAAAGGATTATTAAAACACAACGAACAAACGAACGACGCAATGAGGTGTCACTTAAGTATTTATTGTTACAAAACACAAAAGATTATTCAGTACATATGTTGGGAACCGGTAGCGAAATACGCGGAACGTGGGTGTGGATTCGGGTGTGTACCGGACGGTGTCGGGAAGACGAGCGAGCGCGCCTTGACAATCCGGTTCGCTGGACGGCCGGCCGACGGTTCCAGGCGCGCGTGTCGCGCGCCGGCGTCGTCCGTCGTCGATTGGCGGTTTGATTGAGAAGCCGCGGCGCGGCTTCCGCGCCAAGGCTGTTTGAATTCAAACAGATTTTGCGCGGGACCGCGTCAATATGGTATGAACATATAAAAAATAAAAATCCTAAAAATGCAACCGAAGCCTTCTTTGACAGCAACGAAGACATATTTCCTACTGTTTATCGACTTTTACAAGTATTGATTACTTTACCTGTAACAACTGCAAGCAGTGAAACGTCTTTTTCCTCATTAAGACGCTTGAAAACATATCTAAGAAATACAACTGGTGAAAATCGCTTGAATGGTTTAGCTGTTATAAATATTCATCGAGATTTAGTCGTAACCACAGACGAAATAATAGATACACTAGCCTCAAAAAGTCGACGCATTAAGTTAATTTAAAAATGTATTCATTTTTTTTTTATTGATAATAATATTATATAAGATAACTATTATTCTAAACTATTATCTATTCACTGTTAAGTTGTAATACGTTTGTATAATAAATAATTTTCAAGCGAGATATGAGCATTTTTAATATTTCCATACACTTATTTTTCTCAAAAGTGAAAGTATCGAAAAATCGCCCAAGCTAAGACCCAGATAATGTTCTTACCTAAAAGTTTGATAATATGTCTATTCACTCTAGTATCAAAACTAACAGCTCACTATTGAAAATAGTGGACGACAATTTGTTATGTCGTGCGTGTGTAAGACAGAGACAACACACGCGTCTTAGTGTCCTCTTAAGTTTGAATAACACCCCCCCCCCTTTGAAATTTCTAGCTACGCGCCTGTTGACACTCAATATACTCTTTTTCTGTGAAATATTTATTAATTTTTTCTTGGACGTTAATTTTTCCCTCATAAGCCGTCAATGATAATACGTCATAGCTGTGGTCCAAAGAAAATTCTGAACAGAGAAAATCTGAACAGCGGTTAAGTCTAATGTATGATGGTATACCTTTTAATAATTTGTTGGCTGTTGATGAAATAATATCCATTGCATCCATTAATTTAATGTCGCTGACAATATGGTTATTATTTAATTCATAGTGTGGAGCTAATACGCTCATTATATATTTTTTTTTCCACTTTTACTTTTGATCATTTGTAGAACAAATTGCGAGGTTTTGTTTTTTTTTTTGATTTTTCTAAAAGAAACTTGTGGAAAATCTCACTATCTGCAGCAGCACATGCTAAGATAGTCAACAAGGAATCCGGAGAACAACTATTAGTCAAAATTACCTTGCCTATTCCTTTAACAATAAGAGGTTTATTTTGAAAAGTATTGCTATTTTTCAGAAACGCTACAATATTTTCTTTATTTTTTAAATTCAAATTTAAATGATTAAATCCTGGCTGAGCAACAAGGTATGATTTGGTGGATCGAAAATTTGTCACTGGTTTTTTTTTCATCCACATCTCATTTGCCATTGACTCTTAATTTTTATTATCACATACTAGACAAATCCGCGATTCGCCAAATCCTTCTTCACTTAATGGATTTTTTACTGAGCAACCAAACAAATGAACTGCTTTATTACAGTAAACACACCGGTGTATACCACTTGGAAAATCACCATTTCTACATGGTAAGCAAGTAGGAGCATCATCGTCGTTTGTTTTTTCACCGTTATCACTTTCATAGTTGTTATTATCACTACTAACAGCACTACCATTATTGTCGTTACTACTTTTGTCATATTTGACATTATCGTCATTACTGTTACTATTTGAATCACCATTTTCAACTTCGTCATTATCATCATTACTATTATCATGATAGTCACCATTATCATCTTCGTTGTTATAACCATTACCTTTATTGCCGTAGTCACCATTTTCATATTCGTCATTACAATATTTATTATTGAAGTCACCATTGTCATATTTGTCGTTACCCATACAGCAAATTTATGAATTTTGATATTAGCCTGATATCAGGTTAATGTAAATATTAAGATATTTCGCTTGGTGATATCCTTATAACATTATGACAATAACTTAAAATAAATATTCCACTCTTTTTATTACAGTGATGTTATTCTAATAACGAAATTGAGATATTTAAAAGTATTTATGGACATTATAACACACAGATGTTACTAATGCGATATAAGAATAATATGCATTTATTCATATCCGTATAATATTATTTCTATATTACAATCGAGATATTTAATAGTATTTATTGACATGATAACAAACAGATATTACTAATGTGACATTATGCTCATATGCATTTCTTTATATCTGTATGACATTAATTCTATATTAAAATTAAGATATTTTATAATATTTATTGGCATTATAAACGGATGATATTACTAATCCGATATTAGAATGATTTGTATATTTTATTTATATCTACGTATATTATTAATTCTAGTTAATAGTTAGTGCGTAACATTTTTAAGGTTACGTAAAAACCATTTAGAATTTTAAAATACTCATAATTCGCTTTAAAACTAAAATATTAAGTCAAGTTGTTTATTTTTTAGAATTTTTTTTAAAATTCAAAATTTTTTTGGTTAAATTAATTTGGAACGTAATACATTTTTAAAAAATATGGTTTTTGAGAATTTGCTGAAATGAGTATATTTCTTAAATTATTTACTTATCATATTATATTAACAATTTTTTTTACACGTTTAATTAGCATAATTTTGTTTTTTTTTGGTCAGGGTACACTTTTCTGTTGCACTCTGTATAATTAACTCTAAATTATTATTTATGTTATATATTTTGTGTCTATGAATGACGAAATCAGTTGTATATATGGTTCAACAAGAAATTGATTTTGCATATAAATATCCATTCTGACATAGGAAATTTAAATTATGATCTCCAAACATCATGATCGACGTACTGTAATGAATAGTAGTACTGTAATAGTAATATTATATTATACTATATGGCTTATTTTTGTTTTTTAACATGTAATTTATTATGTGTAATTTATTAATTAGGGTTTATATTACTATGTCAAAAATAATAATGTTATTATAAAAATCCAATAACAATATGAATCATGATATTATATAATTATAATATCTTTTTTCAGGCTTTTTTTTTGCATTGCATTGCTACCATCCCACTATTTACGACCCTAGTTAAATAATAATTAATAATTATACTATTGTATTTTTGTTAATTAGGTATATTTTAATAAGACACATATTTTATACCTTAATCTACTAAAGCCATCAATTCATTCTCGAGTTGATAATAATTAATATTATATGAACCGACAAGTCGGAGTGTACTAATTTACAGTAAAACCTCGATAACTAGAATCAGTCGGAGACAAAAAAAAATTGGTTCTAGATATCGAAAATTCGAGTTCTTCATAGAAAAAATTGTGTGTAGTTACTATAGTTCAGTGGCGGTTTTGGCATGAAATTTTACATGAGGCGGAAAAATATTAAATAGTAAATACAATATTACACTAATACAATACACGTCCTACGACTACGTCATGAGCAGACGAATATTTCATATTTTCATGACCAAAAGATAACAGACGTGCGACACCGCGACGGCCGTCTGGCAAGCGCAGCCCCGCACCTAAATAGCAAGTAGCGCGGCTGCATACAATTAATGTAGCGGCGGCGGCCAATGTTTATAATATCGTTGTGCGGTTGATTATAGTCGCCTCTGGCGGCGGTCTGCGAATGCGCAATTTACACTATTTTACGAGCTTATATGTGTGTGCGTCATAGATAATAAATACATGGATAGGACGCCTCAAATTCATTACGTATTAGTTTTGCGGTCCAACATAGATAAGAAATTGAGGCGATTTGTTGACAGTCAATACTCCATATAGATATACTTTATTTGGCCTCAATTATTCCCCTGGAAGACCGCTGATAAGACCATTATGTCCTATCCATATCTTTATTATCTATAGTGTGCGTAGACGCACCTCGCATGCACTAACTTAGGCGACGGCGGCTACCGCCTCTCGCCGCTGTCGATCTTAGCGCTTTACTATAGTTATTACCATAGAGTATATAGAGGAGCCCTAATTGAAATAATATGAAGCGGAAATGGAAACAAAACAGTGTAGGCAAACTATAGAAAATATTTTATTGTATATGAACTATAATACAATATTTATTGTAATTTAATTATATTATTCATTATTATTACTCAATTATATCATATTGTTCTATGGTTATATTAACCTTTATTTATAACTATCAATATAATATTAATTATTATAATATTACTGAACTGAACTTGATTTGCACAAATACGTAAATACTATTATAATATGTTATGGGAGGGTAGTAACTTTTTGGTGAGGAAATTATCAGTACTATCAATACTTAAATTATTGTAACACACCAGCATCTTAGGTTTGTTCTTAAAATAGTTTCTGAGTAGAAAGTATTATAACATAATCAAAATATTACATTGGTGGGATTTACGAAAAGTTGAAAATTAGCGCTATCTATCAGTTGCGTTGTTAGTTATTGGAAACCAAATCCGACATGTTTTGCTTCACATAATTCATAATACTTATTCTGATAGGGCATCTCTATATACTCTATGGTTATTACTTATTGAAATGCAGAGGCCAAGGGGTGGCCATATCATTCTAAAAGTGAAGCGAAAACGCGGTAGTTTTATTACTCTATGGCAGGGGCATATAATTGGCTATTGTATAATTATAATTTATTATACAAATTTAGTAAAAACCGTACTGGGGTTTTCCTATAACATTGTCGACTGTAGTCTGTAGTTGTACATGTACACCGTATACGGAACGACGGAATGTCCCACACACAATGACAATACCCGCCGGAGCCCCCTCCAACCACCCATCATCATTGGACATTTTAGTCGTTATCGGTTATTTTGAACATCGATGATCGATCATCGATGACCAAATATGATTCAAAGTTTTTATTTCAATGTAGTAGTGTGCTGTGGAATAGAATATTTTTTGTTTACGGCATTGTCCTGTTCGCGGCGTCGTCGATTTATTTACTGTTAAGTGTGCGCACTATTATAGTAATATAGTATTATATGCCGCTCATCCGTTGACGGCCATTGTGCTTTCGCAGATTTAACGTGTTAATTAGCTATATGGAATAGAATATTTTTTGTTTACGACATTTTCCTGTTCGGCGTTCGCGGCGTCATCGTGTTATTTACTGTTTATAGTGTGCGCACTATTATATGCCGCTCATCCGTTGACGGCCGTTGTGCTTTTGTAGATTCAACGTGTTAATTTGTATATTGTTCTTTGCCTCTACGCCAACAATACTACTGCTGTCTAGTGTCTACTAAACATCACCAGTCACTAGAACAACACGTCTTGTAAGTATTAGGTACTTCTTTTTCTTCTTCGCCAAGGAATTGTTGGTAAGTACTGAACTATACCTACCTATAATAACTGTTTATAAATTGTATTGGCATTAGCCCGTTTGAGAATTAATCCTTGATATTAACTATAACTATATAGGTAGGTAGGTATAAGTATAGGTTTATGACCTGTAAGTATTAAAAATAAATAATTTTAACCGTGTAAATTAGTTTTTTGATAACTAAACCTCCATTAAACCTACCTACCTATATAAAAATATTAAAAATCATATAAATATAGGAAATTTCAAAGTAACAACATGCATAGACAAAATTGTATGAGTAAATCTACAAAACGAAGAAGATTATTGGAAGAAACTGCCAATTTATTAGAAAACTGTCCTGAAATTTCTCCAATAACAAGTTCTTTAAATGTGTGTGTTTCTAATGTGTCTGATGTGTTTCCGGATGTGTCTAATCCTGTATCCAATACCAATAATAACATAATAAATAAAATATCATCAAATAAAGAAATAATTGATAATTTAGAACAATTTACCATGGACAATTCAAATTATTGTGAATACAGGGATGATAATAGAAGTGAAACGTTTGAAAACTTTAAACAGTTAGATATGAAGAGGGAATTAAGTAAATGGGCTGTTGAGTATGATGTACCTAATAGTACACTTTCAGGTTTATTAAAAGTTTTAAAAACACATGATTGTTTTAGTAATTTTCCCAGTGATGCTAGGACTATTCATCAAACTAATTCCAACACTACATATAGTCAGCCTATACAAGTAAAAACGGTTTCACCTGGTATATACTATCACTTTGGATTAGCAAACGGAATACAACAGTTTATAGATAAACGTTTTTCTAACGAAACCATTAAAATAGTAATTGGAGTTGATGGTCTGCCCTTGGCTAAAAGTTCAGGCAGTACTTTTTGGCCTATCTTAGGTTATATAAGACAATTTAATCAAACTGTGTTTCCTATAGGAATTTATTGGGGTCATGAAAAGCCAGGGGACAGTAATATTTTTATGAATGATTTCATAGAAGAAGTTAGGGATCTCATTTTAAATGGAATTACTGTCAAATTATTTAATAAAGATAAACAGTTAGTTAGTTTAAAAAAAATTGTTACTATTGACGCATTTTGTTGCGATGTACCTGCTAAAGCATTTATATTAAAAACAAAGGGCCACACTGGATTTTATTCTTGTTCCAGATGTTCAGTACAGGGTACTTTCTTACTTCGACGTGTTTGCTTTCCAGATTTAGAATGTTCTAAAAGATCTCATCAAGATTTTTTAAATAAAATCCAAGAACAATATCATACCTCGGGTCAAATTACTAATATAATTAATATACCTGGTGTTGATGTCGTTCAAAACTTTTCTATTGATTATATGCATTGTGTTCTTTTGGGAGTAATGAAAAAAATGCTTATGCTATGGAAAGGAAGTGGTGAAATTGGTAGAGTAGGTGTAAATAAACAAAAATTACCCTCCAACTTAGTTAAACAAATATCTAATCGTCTAATATTATTAAAAAAATATATACCTTCTGATTTTAGTAGAAAACCTCGGAGCTTAGATGAGTTAAGCCGTTGGAAAGCAACTGAACTAAGGCAATTTTTACTTTACACTGGACCTGTAGTGCTTTATTCACTTGTGTCAAAAAAAATGTATTACAATTTTCTTTACTTAAACATTGCTATGACTATATTCTTAAGTCCCAATTTTAACCACCTTGCACTATATGCTCAGGCTTTAATGGTAAAATTTGTTAAACAGTTTGGTAAATTATATGGTGAACATTTTATATCTAACAATGTACACTTTTTAATTCAATTATATGATGATTATGAGAAATATGGTTCATTAGATCAGGTCAGTTGCTTTAAATTTGAGAACTATATGAGTAAATTAAAAAAAATGGTTAGGAAAAATGAAAAGCCTCTCCAACAAGTAGTTAAAAGGTATATGGAACAATGTAACCTTCAGTGTGTCAATGAAGATGAATATAATTTTAATAATGAAAATATTAAACCAAAGTTTGACAAATTACTTACTGAAGGTCCTTTAATTGGAGAGATGACCTCACCACAATATAAAATATTAATTTTGGAAAAAATAATTATAAAAATACATTTTGATTCTGATTCATATGCAAGTGTTAACACCAATGGAGAAACTGACATCATAAAGATTGTAAATATTTGTTATAATTCTCAATTAAAAAAAGAAGTTATATTAGGTAGAAAGTTTGAAACTGTAGAATGTTTCTTTCGAAACCTAATAAAAAGTTCCGACATAGGGGTTTACAAAATAAGCAATTATTCCAAAAAAGTAGAAATATGGAATATAGGTGATATAAAAATTAAATACGCTGTTTTACCGATTGATGCAAATATGTCGGTAGCTACACCAATTATTCATTTTAATAACTAATTAAATAATATAATAATTTATGGAAAGGTCAATTATGTAACCCACAATATTGTAAATTTTTAAGTATTTTAAAATATGAATAATTATACCTACCTATTTATAAAATATACCTATTTATTGTTTTACTAAAATAAAATTTTACAGTTTTTTGTTCAAATGTTCATCAATAGTAATGTTTTGATAATTATAGCTTGTATATTATATTAATATGATTTGGAATACCTAAATGAGTTCTTGTTATGTATCTTTATTATTATCAGTTAAAATTTTAATTTTTTCGGCGGTTTGGGTTACATCGTTTGACCTTTCCATCAAATTCTCTGTCTACTTAATAATATTTGTACATATTTTATACATACATATCTTTCTATATTATATTTTAATTTTTAATTTTATTTTAAAGTTTATATTGGAGAAAAATGTGGGATATTGTTCATTTTTTGGATGATAATAGCGTAGAAAGTGTTCCCATTCATTGGATTGAAAACGATAGATGTGCTTGGCCTAAAAATAGCCATAACATACACAAATTAAGAACAAACTGTGTCAAAACTTATGAATTCGAATTTAGTTTTTATATGATAAGAATTCTTTCCAATAATATTTGTAAGTATAGTCAATAAGTGCCTAATACTTGTAAGAAATATCGCTAATTATATTTATAATAATATACTATACAGAATCTATTTCTAGTGATGGACAGAAACAGAATCTGAATATAGTGTATTCTGTACATTTTTTTTAATTCAAAATAATTAAATAGTAACAATACATTTTGTTCATAGAATCTTTTGTGGAAGCTGAAGAAAAAGTGCTAACTGCACAATTCACTTCGGATATATCCGATAATGGTTCTTCAAAAAAACGGAAAAGTAAAGGAGCAATTGATGATTCAATAAATTTAAATCAAGAAACTGCAGGTATATACTGTTTTTATTTTATATTATTAACTTAGATTTAAAAATAATAATCATAATTTGAACCAATTTTTATGTTACCTTTGAATAGGTTGCTCCAAAGGTCGCTCTAATTTGAAAATTAAAAAGTACAAAATTAGTACTCCAGGTTATAATGTGGATTCAAAATTCAAAACTAAAATAAATAAAACCAAAACTGTATCAACAAAAGTAAAATCATCATCATCATCAGAATCAGATGACAAGATGTCTGGTGGTAGTAAGCATTTTATTTTATTTCAATTATATTGTCGTACCTGTACCTATCCAATTAAAACATTTTTTTCCGTATACCTATATATATTGATTCACAATAAATTTGTATATTGATACTATATGTTAACAGTATTTTCTATATGACTCATTATTTATGATTACTTATGACTTAGCTTTAAGAAGACACAATACACACACATTTGTTGTCTACGTCTTAAAAGTGCGCAACAGCAAATTTATGCTCAGCAGATCTTGTTAAGCTATGTTAACTTAAAAATGAGAGTGAATCAACCTATTATGAAACTTGGTGGTAAGAATATTATTAATCTGTGTAGTGAGTATTATGAGCATTTTTAATTTTTGCTATATTATATACACAAAACTATCTAAAAAATTGAACTATTGTAAAAAAACAACATACAAACACAGATAATGGGCACTTTTAAAATGCATAATAGGTTGATTAACTAAAATGTTTAAACTAATAGAGCTAAACTAAAATTTGTTGAGTGTAAATTTGTCATGTCACACAATTGTAAGACGGAGACAACAAATGCTTAGGTAGCATCCTCTTAATATATTTTATTTAATATTTTGTCTATAGCAAGTAATTCAGTTGAATACGACTCAGAAAAGGATAAGGAATATATTCCAGCAGAAATGAAAAATAACAAATTATTCTATGATAATTCAAATGAGGAAATATCAATGGATGGTTTCAATGTACCAATAAAAAAGTTTACATCAGTTGAATCACATGTTGTTGAAAACCATATTAAAAATGGTATGTATGGGTTTTATTTAAGTATTATTTTTTACATTTGTGTACCATTTTTTTTCTTTTTAAATGTTTGGTTCGAATTGTCATTCATCATTTCTGCCTATGATCAGTCACATGTCTTAATGCAAACAAAGAATTATCATTAGCTGCTTCAAACACTATTGCTCTGCCGTCTACTTCAGTTGATAATAGTGAGTATGATATTTAACATAGGTTCTCTTTGTTTTCTATTTTGTTTCTCTTATCCATTTCATTTTCATCACTACTGCAGGAGCTACCAGTGACATAATTTTTATCTGTAAATATAATTAATAATTACTAATTAGCAAAACTTAAAAATAAATTTTAACTTAAGTGATAAAATTTACCGTGTCCTAAAGTATTTATTGCGTTTTTTTTCATTATTGGCAACCCTAATTTTTCCATGAGTCCATTTCTATTTAATGCTACTCGAATCCTAACTGAAGCTGGAGTGATAGTCGTGCCATAAGTACTATTTATTGTTTCTGATATTGTTTTCCAAACATATTCTTTAGTACCTGCTATTTCTATTAGAATATTCAACGCAAATAATATTATTTTAATCGACAAAGCATATTCAAATGTATATATATAAAATATAAATAATAAATAATTGCTGATTAATAAAATAAAAATTATTTAAGTGCTGTACTACAAACCTTGTTTATCTTGTGATACAATATCATTTTTACATTTTATGATCTCAGCATCTATAGCATCGCTTTCAACTTTACGTTTTCGTCCACGTTTCTCAGACATGTTATATTCTATTATTTCTAAATTTGTAAAAAAATAAAATAATTGTTTTTTTATACCTATCTATATAAAATATAACATACCAAAAATAAAATATTTTCAGATAAACACTTAGTGATATTTTTTTGTCAATTGCTAATTTAGTAAATTAAAAAATAACCGATAACTCGTTCTGCTGTTGAGTAGGTGTCAAGTGGATCACTGTAATGAATGTGTTAAATTTGAATAACCTTGTATTAATTTTTCAAAGATATTTGTTACCGTCTTTCCTTATTTTTTTTAAGTATAAGGAATTTTTACCTCCTTAAAGTGCAAACTACATAATAAATAGTACTTCATTTAAAGTTTTACACCAATGGACCAATTATTTATGTACTAATTTCACTATTAATTCTTGTACATACATAATATGCTTAAATTATATAACTATATCATTAGGTATAGACATAAATCTATATAATAAATAGTACATAATATATCTTATATCTGAATTCGTTATTCATAATTTATTAATTTATTTGTTTTACCTATTAAGTAGGTAGTAGGTACTATAAAGTATACAATATGTAGGTTAGTTTCAGTACTATTGTCTATTCAAATATAAAATAACCATTGATTATAAATACTAGTATCACGTCTTATGATATACCTATAGCAGTTTTTTATCTTTGTATGTTTATTATTATTTTCATTCATAATTCTAAATTATTCATTAAAAAAATATAGGTACTTACCTTACACAAAACACACTTTAGATATAAGTAATATTATGAATTACGAAAAAATAATAATTTAAAACACGCAACACAACGATTTTAATGTAGGAACCAGCTGAGTTATGACATTCACGATCCACCCCACACAGCAAAATAATATTTTCAAAGTGTTTACAAAATATTGTATGATAAATATTTATATTTTACAAATATCTTTAGATAATTGTCAGAATGTTTCAAGAAAATATTTTGAGATCACTTTTTGGCAGGCAATCAAATATTGCTATAAAATTCTAAAATAAGGTTTTTAAAATATTTCAAATCAATATTTTTGAAATATTAAAATAAAACATGTAGACAATTTTAAGCACTAAATATTTTAGAAATCATATTTCCTCATGTTTTGAAAATATAATGGCTATAATGATTTCCAAATATATTAATTTCAATATTTTGGCTAAGTGCTCTATCTAATATTGTATAGATTCATTAGACTTATATTTTCAAAATATTCAATAGCTCATATTTGAGAAATATATTGCATATATGTTTTGAGAATATAATAGATATAATTATATACTTAAATAAAATGTAGCGCATAATATTGAACTTATGTTTTCAAAATGTATGTTTATTGTGTTTAGTTAGTATACTTATAATTGAACATTTAATATCAATTCATTACATCATTAAATATAAAATCTAAATTACAAACTTAAGAATAGACTTAATTATTATCATCATTATCATAGGTTGTATTTTTTTTCTCTGTTCGTTTTTTAATTCTTGATGGCGCCTGAGCCAACCAACCTTTGATGGATTTTTCAATGTCCTTTGTTGGGGTGTCCTTATATTTTTTTTATTTTGTGTATTGACTCTAAATAAGTAGAATGCAAGTTTATTAGATATAATAATATAATAACAAAAAAATATTTAATAAATATATGCATGCATAATGCATATAAATGATAAATATACATTTATTCAGGATTGCCACAAAATAAGAATTTTCAATATTTTTTCAGAAGTTTATATTTGCATCAATTCATGCATTTTATTCCTTTCCAAAAGTAAAACTTTACTATATAATTGTTACTTTAATGTATGTAACAAATTATGTACAGCTGTTGCAGTTAATTATATTTTTGTTATATAGGCATATTATACATTCCCAAGTGCCTAACACCTATGGTATTATAATATATGAATTAAGACTTGAGCGTTGCCAATGTGAATGTATTACAACTAAATTTGAAGGTATTAATATAAAATGTTGATGAGAATAAAATATATTGAATGAGTGTCAATAGTAAAATATCGAAGGACATCAAGTTATGTGATAAAATTCAATTTGGGGCATTAATAATTGAAAAATTACTAGGGGATTATTTTTATTTTCACTTCTTCTTCATGAAGATAATGGGTCCATGATCCCACGAGCTCACAATTTTAAATATAAATTCATTAAATAGTTAATTTTATAAATTACATTATTATAATTAGCAATACACATTCCTCACATAAGTAAAATATCATTATAAATTAACACAATTT